GGTAATTGCAAACACTGACAGCCTAGACCACCAGGTGATATTAATGGAAACGCTGAAGGACAACTTTAATCGAGCAGCCGTCGCTGTCATCACCTGTACTTGGACCGGACAGCGGCGGTCTTCTGGTTCCATGAAGGCCGTGAACTACTGTGATTCTCAAGTAATGTTTGTACACCTTCACTGAAAAGATTCATCAGCTCGATATCCACCAGGTGTAGGGTTGATGTTTATAGAGAAACGCATCAGTCATTTTTTCCCTATAAATACAAAACTCAGCGTTTTCGACGCGAAGCATCAAAGGGTCGGACATACTGCGGTAGAGGGAAATACGCTTCGAAAAACATGGATGGGGTGAAGTACACGTGGTATTGTCTTAAATGGACCAAAACTATAGATCCTAGCAAAAACCACCGAACCTTTGTTTGCTCTATGGCGTAGTGTTGTTCATTTATGATTTCCCAAAATGTTTTTTTTTTTTTAAACCTTGCGTTGACATCGTTTGCATGAAAAACTCCCGCAGTACTTGAGGCTGTCTCGGAAAGATGAAATTTCATAGGTGAAGTATTGGCTGTATCATTTTGATTCTTGTAGTTTCTGAGGCGATTAGCGAATCCCCGTTCGAATAGCTGACTGTGATGTCCTTGAATCGCAGCCTCTGGCTGCTCGTGACTGTCCTCGCTCTGAAGTGTGGTGAATCCCGAACTCCTGATCTGCAGTGTTTCTTCTTGAACTGTTTCGTAAAGAGTTGCGTTCGCTCACTGGCCGGAACTTGGGTTAGCCGGGATGAAATCTACCGGCTGTAGTGCTGACTGAATCATTCAGCTAATCCAGCAAAGAGCATCTGTCCAGTTACACCTTAATCCAACAAAACAAATCGCTCCGGCGGGTCAGCATGAGTTCTGGCACCCAGAGAACTGAATGGAGAGCTCTGTGGATGAGCACCATGCATGCAACCGATTGCCTGGGACGAGAAGGGTTGACAGGAAGTGGGCGGTTGGGGGGTCTCTGTTGTTTCTCACCCCCCTGCCGTGGGAGTTCCCACAGCCTTCGTTTAACGACTTTCGCACGCATCTCCTCCCAAATATTCCAAAATATCACATTTTTGTTTTGGTTACATCGTCGTTCCCGAATCACTGGCCGGCGGCGGGGTGGCCGCGCATCTTGACATCGCACATTCCATCGCCGGCCGGCAGCAGCACCATGCGAAACTCATCCATCTCCTCTCTGATTGCTCTCTCCGATATGTTAACATGCGTCGCATCATTCCTGGCTGAATGGATCTCATCCCGGGGCAGTGGTTTGCTTCACATCGTACGCTCAACCACCGAACTGTCAGCCGTGCGCCATCGCTCACTTCCAGAGCCCTGTAGCCGTCTGTTGCTTCACGCAGAGCTGTGAGTGTGTCCTACAGCCAGGATGTCGTTCGAAAAGCTGGCAGAAACAGCAGCAGACCGACCACTGGTGCTTTGATCAGAGCAACCAGCTGCCCCTGGGCTAGGTGATAGATGCACTCACAAAGGAACAGTGATGCAACGGAAGGGAATGATACTTTTGTGTTTTTTATAAAAATCGTCCCGAGGCCTCAGTGCTTTCGTTACGCGAGTAGTATTTTCAGCTGTTTCGGACAGTAGAATGTTGGGATTTGCGTGTGTGGGTCACGACCAGTTTGGCCTTTCAGAGCATTCCTTTTATTCGCAATTCAGCCGCTCTTTTTTAAACAGTTTTTTAGCCGTTTTTTTCGCAGCTTTTCAATCAGTGGTTGTGTACTTCTGCTATTTTAAGATTCTTTTCTTGAAACATTTGTCTGTCCCAATAATTTATTCAGGAACTGTGGAAGCGGGATGGATGCATTTTTCGAAACATAGTTCCCACTGGCGTATGAAGTCACAGACGATAATTCAACTTCTCTTTCCTCTTGGTGTTTCATATTCCTAGATCCAAAGCCTTTTCCTGTC